GTTCAGAGATATCCCAATAGGCAACAATTCCATCCCATCAGTATTTTCTGTATGTTGAGAATCGTTTTAGGCAAGAGGGAAATCGAAAGGCAGAACAGAGGTTTATCATGAATGTGGAGACCGAGGAGGAGACTGAGATTAACGTTCTTGCTATGGTTGAGGTTGACAAAACGATTTCTTTAAGAGAAATGCAGATAAGTCACGAATCAGCAAGAAAAATATTGAAAAAGCACGGATATCGAGCATTTAAATATCAGTTACATCAACATTTGTATACTGACGATGGCGATAGACGAGTAGTGTTTTGTGATAGGTTGCTTCAAAATCATAGAGTTAACCCAAATTTTATCAACTTCATTCTATTTTCCTACGAATCACGATTTACAAATAATGGCTTGTTTAATAATCCGCGTGGTGAGAATATTCTACCTGCATTTGAAAATCAGGTTTATTCAATTTTCAAGGATGTTCGAATTGGAGTTTCAATATAAATACAACCACAGAGTGACCCTTTCGTGTATGGACCAAGTGTCAGCCCGAGTGTCAGCCCTAATAGGAAATACAGCGCCAGTATTACCATGTATAGGAAGAAGACGTGGAAAATGTTAGTTTAGTGAGCATATCAACAATAATAATAGCGATTATTTGTTTCTCTCCATACTCCACTATGTATGGCTGGGTAATCAAATAATTGAGGTAAGCATCAATATCGTTGTGTGAGACCAAAAAGTATTGCTGGCCGTGATTATTCAAAAACAAGTTATTCATCCCGAGAATAACTAGTGAAATACAGATAAAGCAAGTATGTGAATCTTGAAGGGTTTCCTGATCAAAACCAATTAAATACTTAACTATAAAAATGGTGTATTTATATCTCCAGCATGGCTATGAAATGCCAAATCTGCCGAAATCGGAAACAAATCAGGTAGGTATGCGTCCCAACCCAAATAACCAACCGTAACAATGTTGTTTTTCTGCAACCGACACAAAAGTCGTCCATTTTGATACCAAAATTAGCTCTTAAATTGACGTTTCTATTACTGACACAAAAATAGGTATGTTGCTAGGCAACATATTTAGTTCCTAGGAGCTAAAGTTGAATTTTAATTCCTAGGAGCTAAAGTTGAACTTTAGCTCCTAGGAACTAAAAAGGATCTACTGGACGTCATCAAGAATAAACAACATTGTGATGGTTGGTTATTTGGGTTGAGACGCATACCTGATTTATTTCCGATTTCAGCAGATTTGGCATTTCATACCCATGCTGGAGATATAAATACACCTTATTATAGTTTAGTTTTGGAATTATAAACATCTCAGTTAAGTATTTTTGTTTTGATCAGGGAAGCCTTCAAGATTCAAATACTTGCTTGATCTGTATTCCATTCGTTATTCTCGGGATGGATAACTTGTTTTTGAATAATCACGGCAAGCAATAGTTTCTTTGTCTCAAACAACGATATTGTTTAGCTTCATTTGATTATCAAGTCAAACACAGTGTAGTATGGAGAGGAATGAATAATCACTATTATCATTGTTGATATGCTCACTAACCTAACATTTTCCACGTCTTGTTCCTATAGCTGGCTCTGGCGCGGTATTTGCCATTAGAGCACCTGGTCCATACACAAATATGTCATTCTGTGGTTGTATTTATATTGAAACTACAATTCGAACATCCTAGAAAACCTTAACCTGCTGTTAATGTAGGTAGAATATTCTCACCACATGGATTATTTGTCAATATTTGTTGCATTGCATACATATGGCACAGCATTGGTGGTTACTTCACATGTTTATTTGAGTTAATTGTTTCGGTTGCAGAAAAAATAGCATGTTTCATTCGGATCAAAAGTGACTTTGTTCGACTCGCAAATTTTGCTTTCGCTCGGCTTCGCTAAACGCTCCGCCTCGCAAATGCAAAATTCGCTTGTCAAACAAAGTGTCACTTTTGATCCTAATAAAACAATCTACTATTATTCCTGATGACCTAGTCCATCCTTTTCAGTTCCTAGGAGCTAAAATTCAACTTTAGCTCCTAGGAACTAAAAGTGTTGCTTATACCAACATACCTATGTTTGTGTCAGTAATAGGAACGTCAATTCAAGATCTAATTTTGGTATTAAAATGGACGACTTTTGTGTCGGTTGCAGTAAAAATAATTGTTAATCAAGAGATCATTGTGTTTACCGTTTCAACGAAAGTGAATGCCTACATCCTTCAAATAAAACACTCGAAAAATGTTCATTAGAGAAACGTGCGAGTATTTTTATGTGTTTGGAACACTGTTGTAATTAGTTTTTATTTATCTGACTTTGTTGGATAGTATGTGAGATCATTAATCATTTGTAGAAGTATGTACCGGGTGTACCACTAAGAAAGGACGCCGGCTGTATCTCGGAAACTATTTGCCGCACAGGTTTCGGAAAAAAATATTCATGATGAAAGTGGCCAAGAAAAATCTCTGGAAATTATTTTCAAGTTTCCAGGACAGCCGCTAGAAGGCATAACTGCATTGGCCAATTTAAAAAACGGGTTTTTATAAAAATTTTATATATCAAGACATATCAAAAACACTTTTTTCATCTACTCGAGTTGATTTCCAATCATTTCGATAAAAAAAATTGCGCTAGCTCTTTAAATAAAAGAGTGAGGGAAGGATGAATAGTACTTTGGAGAAACTCTCATTACTACAGTTTGGTGTAACGGAATTCAATGATCTTGGTCTCATTATGAAGGGTTTTTCCAGATCTTCCAGATAAATCACGAATCAAGTCGATTTAAATCCCGTGGTGGCCGCTAGATGGCATCGTTTGAAAAATTAGATTTGTAATTTTTTTCGAGAATTTCAAATGGAACCATATATTTTTTCTGCTATAATATGAAAGTAAAGTAAACGAGAAGAAAAATGGTGGAAACCGCGAGTTGATACCTCTCGAAAAAAGCAATCCACAATGAACATTGAAAACTTCCAATAGAACTTCAATTATATTTTGACGTTTCTTTCATTCGAAGCCAACTTGCCTATTCTCATTCCTGAGCCTACTCACTACTTACATTTCAATTTGCTATGTCATTACTAGAAGTCTCCTTCACTATTGTGAGATATAACTTCATAGATACAGAATATTTCTGATTACGATTATTGAAGTTACATTCCTTTGGTGAATATTTTCATATAATATTATTTCGAGTATTTCACTGGTTCATATTAGAGTAGGATAAATATATGGTTTTCTCACCCTGTATTACTTTATTTTGCTAATATCAGTATATGGTTGGATAGACAATGAATATACCTTCCGAAAAAAAAAAGTAAAAAGGGGATGTTTCCATTTAAAAAAATAATCGATGACGTCACCACAACTACACGGATAACGTTAAAAACTCCGTATGTATATCAAAAGGTGTCAATTTGAAAATGAGAATCGACCTGTCTCAGTTTTTTTTTTCAAATTCATATGCGTTAGAGATAATGAATTTATTCCATACATTTCCACCATACTGTACATATAAGTCCCGGGAGGTGCTCAAAAAGTGAGAATCCTCAACTCCGCCCTGTATCTCAAAAACATGAAGGAAAATGAAAATTCTGTTTGCGCCATTACTCGTTTCACAAAAATCTGATAATTATCAATTCTAAAAATGTCACAACACAAATCATACGTGATTTATCCTTGTCACTGTCATGTGTGAATTAGACCAAGAATTCAAATAACCATGACTTTCACAATGGACCATTTTTTGACCAATCAAAACAATTTCAGCTAAGGTGAAATGTGAAAACAGCAACCACCCTATCTCCAAAGATAACTGAGATATCGCGCAAAAGCATCGAAAACTGGACACACTGTACAAACATATAGGGGTAATTGAAAAGGAAACGGACTGAATAACTTCCGGGAAAATGTATAGATATTTGAAAAAACTCGGAAATAGCTCGAATTTTTATTCATGGGGGAAGCCATATTATCCCAAAAAATCAAGTAAAATGAATCCTACCTTACCTTTTTCCCACAAGACGCCGCTAAAATTGAGAGAAACCTTGAGGGTAAAAGTGCAAAAAATGTAAACAAACCACTAACCACTATTTATCGAGATTCTTTACGAAAAAGTTCGAAATTTCACTTTCTTTTGCAACCCCTCTTGGATATTCATTTACAACTACTTGTCCTTCTTTTTCCATCACTGGACAACTCACGTTGTACTTCAATAACACATTTTATTTCCTAAAATCAACAAGACGTATGGTTTATTTGGAATTTTTTCATATTTCAGTGAGGTAAACAATCACACCAGGACACCAGCTGACGGCCATTCAATTATCAAATCTAGTCATAGGTACCATACAAATACAAGATGTCAAATGTCAAAAAAAATTGCGAGAAACCAAACCATTGTTTACCTCATTCGCATATGACAAAATTCCAAATATACCATACTTCTTGTTGGTTTTATGAAATAAAATGTGTTATTGAAGTTCAATGTCAGTATATAAAGTGTCCAGTGATGGATAGAGAATGACAAGTAGTTGTAACTGAATATCCAAGATGGGTGGCAAAAGAAGGTGAAATTTCAAACTCTTGCGTGGAATATCTCGATAAATAGCAGTTTGTTCACATTTTCATAGTGAAATTCCTGTTTCAGACGAAAATACGTAGGTACAAAAAAAGTTCCTAACGAAAAACCCATCGCATAAGTGCACCTTTACCACCTCAATTATATCCATACCTATTACTGATTTCTTCATCTAATTACCTTGTCGATTATGTGCCATACATGGCATCTACCCCTATTCGAATTCTATACTGGTCAGCGAGGTGTGGGAGATGGAAATGACATGTGGCAGTTGGAGATAAGATAGAGAAGTATCCTCCATGAATTAAAAAAATACCCATTTCGCTATTTTTTCTAATGAACATCCTGCCGGAAGTTATTCAGTTTGTTTCGTTTTCGTTTACCCACTCAGTGTATGCTTAGTTTCCCAAAAAATAGTAGGTAGGTATATATCCCAATTTATTGATCAAAGGAAATCGAAGCAAATCGAATCTAAATTCACAGTTATTCCCAATTAAAATTCATTCCTCTGGGGCATCATTGATATCATCGTCAGACAAGTAAGGTTCAAAGGGAAACGCCAGCAAGGGATCCGAATCGGAAGTGACCCCAGAGAACTGTTTGATCTGCTGTTCTATGTCATCCTTACACACGAACTCTACGATATCATTCAAAATATCCCAACATATCCTGTACTTGTCCTCGTCTGTAATCGAGTCCAAGATGGTAGGACGATGAGTGTCCAGCATCAAATTCGGGTATCCAAAGGCCATCTCATCGTTGAGGATGCAGAGGAGAGAAGGCTCCTTGGATTCGTCAGACGGAGTACGAACTTCCTCTTCTTGATCTTCCAGCTTGAAGTCGAACACTTCCATCGCATTGTTGACTTCCTCTTGGCCTGCTGAGAACGTCTCCATCGCTGATTTTATCTCTTCGTAGTGCTCGGTGAAGTATTTGGCCAGGAAGTAGCGCAGCTTCACTTTGGGTCTTGCTTTCAGGATGGCCTTGACTAGGATGCCTATAGCGGCTTTTATCTCTGGGTGGTCCTTCAGGTACTTCTGGTTGTTGCGCATTATCTCCAGTTTCTGATTGAACAGGAGCTTTTGCTGCTGGTCAGTCAGCTCTTGTAGCTTGTAGTAGGTCATGCCTCGAGGAGTATCGCATGGATGAAAGTCCAGATGGTTTGGTGAGGAACTCGAATCGTCCGCCATTTTTATCGGTGGGGTTCAAACGAGACCAAAGTAGAGAATGATTAAAGCGGCAAATTGACAGTCCACTTTTCAGTTCAACGTTTCCATTCCCTCTGAGCGAGATGTCAAATGATAGTTGTCAGCTTCACAGCATGTGCAAAGTTTTAACCTTGGTAATTGAAGTAATAATTAATGTCTAGTGTATTAGTTTGCTGTGAACTCCAGTGAAGTATTTGGTCAGGAAGTAGTGCTGGCTTCCACCTTGGTCGGTCTTTAAGGATGGCCTCGTCCTACGATGAAATGAGGAAGCACACAGCAGAGAGAAATATTCTTGGACGCGTCAGATGGAGTAAGAACTACTTCTTTTTGGTCTTCCAGCATGAAGTCGAACGTCTTCATGGCTTCATTGACTTCGTCTTGGCCTGTAGAGAACGTCTCCATTGCTGATTTTATCTCTTCGTAGTGCTCGGTGAAGTATTTGGCCAGGAAGTAGGGCCGCTTCACTTTGGGTCTTGCTTTCAGGATGGCCTTGACTAGGATGCCTATAGCGGCTTTTATCTCTGGGTGGTCCTTCAGGTACTTCTGGTTGTTGCGCATTATCTCCAGTTTCTGATTGAACAGGAGCTTTTGCTGCTGGTCAGTCAGCTCTTGTAGCTTGTAGTAGGTCATGCCTCGAGGGGTATCGCATGGATGAAAGTCAAGATGGTTTGGTGAGGAACTCGAATTGTCTGCCATTTTTATCGGTGGGGTTCTAACGAGACCAAAGTAGAGAATGATTGAAGCGGCAAATTGACAGTCCTATTTTCAGTTCAACGTTTTCATTCCTTCTGAGCGAGATGTCAAATGATAGTTGTCAACTTCACAGCATGTGCAAAGTTTCAACCTTGGTATTTGAAGTAATAATTAATGTCTAGTGTATTAGTTTGCTGTGAACTCCAGTGAAGTATTTGGCCAGGAAGTAGTGCTGGCTTCCACCTTGGTTGGGCTTTGAGGATGGCCTTGACCTACGATGAAATGAGGAAGCACACTGCAGAGAGAAATATTCTTGGACGCGTCAGACGGAGTAAGAACTACTTCTTTTTGGTCTTCCAGCATGTAGTCAAACGTCTTCATGGCTTTATTGACTTCGTCTTGGCCTGCAGAGAACGTCTCCATCGCTGATTTCATCTCTTCGTAGTGCTCCGTGAAGTATTTGGTCAGGAAGAAGCGCAGCTTCACTCTGGCTCTGATTTCCTGGAGTGCCTTGACTAGGATGCCTATAGCGGTTTTTATCTCTGGGCGGTCCTTCAGGTACTTTTGGTTGTTGCGCATTATCTCCAGTTTCTGATTGAAGAGGAGCTTTTGCTGCTGGTCAGTCAGCTCTTGCAGCTTGAAGTAGATTATGTCTCGAGGGGTATCGCATGGATGGAAGTCGAGATGGTTTTGGTGAGGAACGAGAATTGTCCGCTATTTTTATCGATGGAGTTCTAACGAGACCAAAGTAGAGAATGATTGAAGCGGCAAATTGACAGTCCACTTTTCAGTTCAACGTTTTCATTCTTCCTGAGCGAGATGTCAAATGGTAGTTGTCAAGTTCACAGCATGTGCAAAGTTTCAACCTTGGTTTTTGAAGTAATTCCTGGTGTATTCATTTGCTGTGAACTCCAGTGAAGTATTTGGCAAGGAAGTAGTGCTGGCTTCCACCTTGGTTGGGCTTTAAGGATGGCCTTGACCTACGATGAAATGAGGAAGCACACTGCAGAGAGGAGAAGTCTTCTTGGACGCGTCAGACGGAGTAAGAACTACTTCTTTTTGGTCTTTCAGCATGAAGTCAAACGTCTCCATGGCTTTATTGACTTCGTCTTGGCCTGTAGAGAACTTCTCCATCGCTAAGTTTATCTCTTCGTAGTGCTCCGTGAAGTATTTGGGCAGGAAGTGGCGCAGCTTCACTCTGGATCTGATTTTCAGGACAGGAGCTTCTGCTGCTGGTCAGTCAGCTCTTGCAGCTTGAAGTAGGATATGCCTCGAGAAGTATCGCATGGATGGAAGTCAATATGGTTTTGGTGAGGAACGAGAATTGTCCGCCATTTTTATCGGTGGAGTTCTAACGAGACCAAAGTAATGATTGAAGCGGCAAAATAACTCCATTTTTCAGTCCAACGTTTTCATCCTCTCTGAGCGAGATGTCAATTAAAAGTTGTCAAGTTCACAGCATGTGCAAAGTTGAAACCTTGGTTTCAGGAATAATTCCTGGTGTGTAATAAGTCTGCAGTGAACTTCAGTGAAGTATTTGGGATGAAGGCAAACGTCTCCATGGCTTTATTGACTTCGTCTCGACCTGTAGAGAACGTCTCCATCGCTGATTTTATCTCTTTGTAGTGCTCGATGAAGTATTTGGCCAGAAAGTAGCGCAGCTTTACTTTGGGTCTCTGGCTTCAGGATGGCCTTTACTACGATGCCTATAGCGGTCTTTATCTCCGGGTGGTCTTTCTTTCTTTTCGAACAGGAGCTCTTACTGCTGGTCAGGCAGCTCTTGCAGCTTGAAGTAGGTCATGCCTCGAGGGGTATCGCATGGATGGAAGTCAAGATGGTTTTGGTGAGGATTGTGAGGAAATCGAATTTTTCGCCATTCTGATCGGTAGAGTACTATCGAGAGTATTATTGAAATGACAGAATGACACTTTTTCGCTGAAACTTTTCATTTTCGGTTCTAGCCACGAAATTGTGTTGTCGAGCAAGGACGAGTGGTATTGCTGTACGGCAATACAATTGAGTTTACAATGATAGACAGCATTATAAGAAGATATTCAGAACAGAGTGGTATCTGCTAGACTATTTAATGAAACATTAGAAGCAGATGTCGTTAATGAACAAGCCATATAACCAAAGCGGTTCATTCTGACATTTTCAGCTATAATTGTAAAAAATGTGAAATTGACAGACATTGTTTACGCGATAATACAAGTTGTCTCTGGCTTGAGATTGATCAGATTATGTGAGAATTTCAAGATGAGTAAAATTGTCGCGAAAACACTAGCTGTCCTTCAATTCTGATTGGTCTATCAGCGTTTGTGCTTTCAACGATTTAACCATGGATAGCAAAGAAAAGCCAGTCAATTTGACATAAAAAAATTATAGCTGCAGATATCAGAATGAATCGCTTAGGTTATATGACTTACAGCAATATTCATATCCAGAAGATATTACTGTTGAATATTCTCGAATATTCAGAACATCTTGATATTACTGTTGATGATTCTGTCGCTTTTTTGTTCAAATCATCAACTTTAATCACCTACGTATAAAATTAATAAGTCAGCTGGTAGTAGGTAATTCAAAATATTATTCTTGACTAACTTTATTCTACTAAAGTTGGTGGAAACCTATTTTTTTTCAAGCAGTATGTATAATATAAATAAAATTCACATCCAATACATTGTTAGGTTGAATAAAACACAATGATCTTACTTCCGTTACACAAAGTAATAAAAAATAAGTCGATAGTAGCTCAATTTATCTGACAAATATATTTTACTCAAGATAGTAGGATAGTAGATTGCTTGTTTTATTAGGATCAAAAGTGACACTTTGATTGACAAGCGAATTTTGCATTTGCGAGGCAGAGCGTCTAGCGAAGCCGAGTGAAAGTAAACTTTGCGAGTCACAAAGTCAGTTTTGATCCGAATGAAACATGCAATTTTTTTCTGCTACCGAAAGAATGAACTGAAATTAATATGTGAAGTAGGTAACCACCAATGTGACTTACTTGATAGATACCTTTATTATAATGATTAAGGAAATCGAAAGTAGATAGAAGCGCAAAACCTCAGACTACTTTACATTAAAATAATGGTGGACGATGACTTTATTTTGTTATAATTTGTGTTGACATGCAGCATCAGATACTATCGGCACGAATTCAATACTATACTCGAAACGTGGTTGTCGTGCCATATGTATGCAATGCAACAAATAATCCGTGTGGTGAGAATATTCTACCTGCATTTACAGATCAGGTTTATTGAATTCTCAAGGATGTTCGAATTGTAGTTTCAATATAAAAACAACCACAGAGTGACCCATTTGTGTATTCTATTGAATCGATGGATTGATGAATTCATTTGGACCAGGTGCCTAGCAAATACCGCGCCAGTGCCAGGTACATGAAAAATAAGTGGAAAGTGTAAGGTTAGTGAGCATATCAGCAATAATAATAGCGATTATTTATTTATCTCCATATTCCACTATGTTTGGCTCGGTAATCAATACAAAATATCGTTGTGTGGAACAAAAAAGTATTGCTGGCCGTGATTATTCAAAAACAAGTTATCCAAACAATCCGATCCCAAGAATGGATGAAATACAGATCAAGCAAGTATGTGGGTCTTGAAGGCTTTCCTCGAGGCTTTCCCGATCAAAACAAGAATACTTAACTATAATATGGTCTATTTATATCTCCAGCATGGGTATGAAATGCCAAATCTACCGAAATCGGGAACAAATCAGGTATGCGTCCCAACCCAAATAACCAACCATGAAAACGTTGATTATTCCTGATGACCTAGTACATACATCCTTTTTAGTTTTTCTCACAAGAAACTCGAACTCGAATTCAGTATCAATGAAATGTGCTCACGTAATTTCATTAGATTAAATTAAATATAATTAAACGTCTTTGGTTAGATGAAATAATGAAAAATTAGTCGATAGTATAGCCACATATGGAGATTATGAGTTCTGTGATAGTAGCTCAATCTCTCCATTTTTTCAAATTAATTTAGCTGAAGTTGGTAGAAATATAATGATTATTTTCTTACAAGGAACTTATCCACTGTATCCACTTAGAGAATGAATTCGACATAATCTGAAGTTAAATGTAAATGTCATTTTACCTATGAATGTCAAAAAAATGTCCAGTGTAATCAAGTACTCTTTTCCCCAATGAGGAGGAAACAATTTCCGGAAATTTGTTTAGTTGTAAACTCTGGTTCCTGATTGGTCAGAATATGAGAATTCCAAAATGAGTGTGAGCAGTCATTTGAGGTGCATTGGCCTGCTGATAACTTTTCCATCGATGTCTTCATCTCTTTGTACAGCTCAGTGGAGTATCTGGTGGGATGTAGCTCAGCTTCAAGCTCAGCTTCACCTTACCGGTTTCTAACATTCATAGGTCATAATATCCTAGAGAAGTATCGCAAAATATCCTTATAAATATATATACACTGTAGGTATTCGCACAATCTATTTTAACAGCACTATCTCGTAAACGATACATTCATACATCATACATTTTTCACTGATTGATCGCGAAACATGTATTTGTGATTAGTGGACATTGAATTACATTAGTTTTTCAACGAATTACAGATAATTGAGTCTTCATTGCATCATGTTGCATGTGTGCGAGTACAACTTTTTTTCATTGGTACCCTACTATCAGTGGCGTAGCTTGCCCTGGACGGGCCCTGTATATCAAAATTTGTCAGTGCGGGGCCCTTCTATACCCGTTTGAAGCATAGCCAAACGGAGGGTGAAGACAGTTGCACCGAAATAAATGAATATATAATTCAGTAAATTTTAACTTCACTCCTTGTAAGTCCAAATTTTTGTTTTCTCCTTTTTTGTATAATGTTATATGATTCTCTTTGTAGTTCTGTCTTGTTTGGGCTGAAGATGGATTTTTTTGAATTCAAAATATGTCCCACTGAATAACTTATATCATTGATAAAATTGTGGAGACGACTCTGAGCGATCCT